ATTTGATATTTTTTATACACATCTTATTTTGCCAAATTTTACTAAAAAAGCAAGGTTAACCCCTTACAATCTGAAATTTTCCAGAAAGATCTGATTTTGCCCCGAATTTCACTAAAAAATGCAAGGTTCACCCCTTACTATTTGAAATGTTTCATAAACATCTAAATTTTACTAAAAATGCAAGGTTAACCCCTTACAAGCTGCAATTTTCAAGAAACATCTGATTTTTCCCAATTTGCTAAAATGTAAGGTTAACCCCTTGCAAACTGTTCAATCAATACATGAAGTGTCCCATTTGACTTTTTTAAAACAAACTATTTTTCCAGTTTTTAGGGTAAAGGAATTTTCTCTTTTTCCTTTCTCTTTTGTTGTTGCTATATTTTGCGAATTAACTCATTCGTACGGAATGCTCATAGTCAATCAAAGAATATTTCACACATAGGGGCCTAGATTATATTTTTTTTAATTTAATAGAGACGCATTGATCGTGCTATCATATACCATTCTATTACTATTGCGAATTACTGTATTGTTTGGAATGCTCACAATTAAAGACACGTTATTTGAAAGATGTATAAATAATATTTATATTACAATGTACATCTTTATTCTTTCCCGGTATAATTTATGGCGTTTCTTACGTGAATTGGCAATCGCGTCATTATATAATGATAGTCAAATTGATCAAACGAAACTCCGTTTTGATTATAGTCAATTATGAAATATTCATTGATTTATGACATACACCTTTGTTTCAATTTTGATACTACCCGTAGACCTGCCGAGCAGCTGTAGATATCAAACTAAACCAAAGTATAAAAGATAGAGGGTAAAAAAAATCAAAAAGTTATGTGCTAGTCAAGCTTTCAGGGATCGGTCTGAGCCATAACAATGCCCCAGCCGATCCCTTAGTTCTCTTCCGGGGTCTCGGCGTCCCCGACCAATACACACTTCCTTCCCTATCCATCCATATAACCCCGGAGGGCCAGGCACCATGTAAAAGCAAAGAGCTAAGGGAGGAACAGGGCGGCCCCTAAGCCCTGATCCTCCGAGTGGACCACATGCCCTGAACCTGTACGAAGGCGCCAACCTGGAACTCGCGGACAGTACCAGCAGCAGTGCTTACCGATTAAGCTAAGGTACTGTTGGTACTTTACGACGGGAACTTAAATCTCTTATAGTGAATAATTGAACTCATACGTTAAAAACCAAAAAGACACCAGCGGGATTCGAACCGGGACCCCGCTAACGGTGGACGACGAATCGTAACCACTCGGCCATTTCGTTACCTTAGAATTTTTCTTAAACTGAGAAAGTTGTCTTTATAAGTGAGCAAACGCGCCAGGAAGATTACCCGGTCCATTTGCTTTACCTTAATGGGTAAAAACAAGTCGATATAATGAGCCAGTGTGTTTGGTTTGTTAAGCTGCATAACACAGCCTAATGTGCAAAACAGTCGTGTGCTAGGCGGATCATTACGCAACAATGAACACCGCAATTGTGTATTTTCAAAAGGCAGACGCGTAGATTTCTACTCTTTGTATCTTTGTGTGCTAGGCGGATCATTACGCCAGGCGCGGTTCTACGGCGGGGGGGGGGGGGGGCTAGGGGGCTGTAGCCCCCCCCCCCCCAAATGTTGTCTAGCCCCCCAAAAATAAATTTCGTAAAAAAAAAAAAATGCATTAGCAAAAAGAAGGATTGTGATGTACATGCGAACGGTCTCCCCTAAAGAAGAAATAGCCGTGACAAGGGTGCATTAGTTAATATAGTGTGAATGATTTTAGGATTTTATTGGCGCTCCCCATTGAAAATATGCAAAAAAAAAATACAAGGTTAACCCCTTACAATTTGATTTTTTTTCATAAACATCTAATTTTGCCCAATTTTACATCAACTTATGCTAACAAATTATCAGGTAACTGGATCATTAAACGGGACAGTTGCACATCGGCCTTGGAGCTCAGACCATGTGTCATGCACTCCTCAATCCATAGATGATGCACATAACACTATGGGTATTACAGGCACAGCTTGGGGTACTGCCCAAACAATGATGAACGCATTGCGTATGCTTAAAGATTTACCCACAATTCCGGTTTTTACCGTTTAGGTCTGGCTCTAATCACTTTACGCGATCCCCTGAAGTCTCATACACTGACTTTAGGCAAAATAGTCAGACTTTCGCGGTCTAGTAACCAGACTTTGACTCTTGACGAAACATCGAATGAAAAGGGAAACATCAAATGCATATTGCAAAAGATCGAATGCAAATATACCGATGAAACATCGAATACAAATAGCTCAAAATGTCAAACATATGTGTAAAACATTGCTCACTTATTTGAGAATATCGCAAATATATTGTAAAACAACACACACAATTGTCTCGAAAAACATCGCACATTTAATGCAAAAAAATCGAACATAATATTGAAAACATCGCACATATATATCGTCAAAAACATCGCACATATAAATTGAAAATCGCATATAAATGTAAAACATCGCACACATATATTGAACATCGCACATATATTGTAAAACATCGCACAAATATATTAAACATCGCGCAAATAATGAAAAACATCACACACTTATATTGAACATCGCACATAAATGTAAAAGATAACAAACACAATTGAACATCCGACATATATTTTGCAAAATATTGAATATTGCAACGTTTGACACGCCATAGTCATTGGTACAAGTACAAATCGATTAGATTTTGGAAGTGATCCAGATCTGGGTCTGGATCCAGAATATTTCAGAAGGTTTCTTCGCCATTTATCATCGAGAGTATTTTTGTTGTTGTTGAGGGTGTAGGCCTACTGACAATATGGCGTGGAATTGTTTAGCCTTGACGGAGGTTTGCGCTCTCTAAGGGCTTTCTATAGTTAGTCATGTTGTTGCACATTTGAAGACAAAATTTGAAAGAAATATCAGTTGCTTAGGAAACACTTTTTAAATGTCAATCGGCTCTTTTTCTACAAGACGACACAACAGACAAAAAGACGCACAGACGCAGGAATATTGCGAAAACGAAGGACTGCATGGCGATGTTTATTGCAAACATCTCCAAGACGTTTACACTAAATGAATACAACACACGAAGCAGAACTACAACATTTGTGCAAAATATTCACACAGAGCTAGTCTCTATACGAAATGCAGGGATGGATCAACTATTATTGAACAATAAGTAAAGCTGCGTTCAAAATTAAGAATACGTCATGACCTAAAACTCAATTTGTTCCAGAAACCAAAGCCGGTCAAGAATATTTTTGAAAGTGTCTCAAGGAGCACGGTTTTGGGTGATAAAACTCTGGAAATGAGCTAAGACAAAAACAAAATTAAAATAAGACGAATAAACTAAGAAAACTCTTTAAATGTAGAAAAACGCATATTACAGGCATGCATAAAATTAAACCGTGGACCTTTGCAGATAATCAGTTACTGAAAAAAAATTTTGAGCCTTAATTACCCTGCCAAAATTTCAGACACTACGAAGGAATGTTTGCAGGAGCCACAATACACCGTCAAAGAGAACTTGTTAATAACAGTAATAGCATGTTTTAAGATGTTGTATTAATGTAAAAATACAGCTTTTTTTAAGTTGCGTGTTCCGAGCTCTTCAACAAATTCGATTTTTTTTCTTATTAGTAGGGGGCGGGACGTCTGCACCCCTCTGAAAAAAAAACCTGTTTTGTTTTGTGCATAAACAGATCCGCTTTGCGTGCAAACTGGCTCCCGGTCCGTACATTATTGATACTGCATGATTGTGGGGCGGGAACCAGCCAAGGGAATTAGTGTCTGGCAGCCATTACTTCGAAACCGTCCAGTAACTAATCAATGTAACTAAACATGGACCGATTTTTTTTTCGGTCGATAGAAGAAGCAATTCAGAAAAGGAGTTTATTTGCAGAAGGAACTCCAAACTAGCACGAGGAACGCAACTTTAACAGTGTATAATACTTTCCCGAAGTTCCAGGGTCTTTTAAGTTATTTTTTTTTTAACGAATTAAACTTCCTAAGAAGAAAATCGATTACTTTTAAAACTTGCTTTGTATTCTAGAACTGCATGTGGATCGTGGTAAAGCATACTGGTTTTCAGGCTATTGTGCTATCCACACTACTATACACCGATCAGTGACATCTCCATAACCTTATTCTGGTTTCCGACAGTCAATATCAACATTTCAAAAGTGTATAAAAAAAGATGCACAAACCAGATAAAAAATTCCAAATATTCAAATTCACACGAGATTTACATTGACAGTCTAAAATACAAAATTATGAAACACGTATTTTTTACACCATGGTTTTTATTATTAATTCCTTTTCATGAGTTGCACTAGCTTGTTGCCATAGTCTTTACTACAGGGCTGTACCACTTATTACCCAAATGGAAGCAAATTCGTTTCTACCCTCCTCCACACAAATGTTCAACAGCGCCCTCTTGCGGTGTCATCCAAAGAACAGCTATATGAAGCGACACAATCGAGATTTTCCCCCAGACAACATTAAATTAGAACTTGATTGACTCTCTTTCACTACAGATATAATTATTGCAGTCAATGTGTGGACATGCGAACAAAAGAGGTCCACACGATGCAGCAGCTTATGACGTTATGACTTGCACAGATCCACATAGTGATTTCCACTTTCTGATAAATAGTGTTGGAGGCATATTAAATTTTGGGTAAGGGTCGTCCGTAGCAAAATGAAGAAGATCTTGAGCTTGAAGGAAATCAAGGTCAAAATTCGTCTTGAATAAATTTTTGAAGTGCAAGTGGCACCGCTTTTTAACGGTTATTTCTTAACTATCACACCGTGCTTGTAACACAAATACATGTGTTAAGCAATGGCTTTTGGGTGATTTGTTTTCCTTCAAAGATCATGATTACCCCTTAAAAGTAGTCATGAAGCCTATCGACAGTAAAAAAAAAAAAAAAAAAAAAAAAAAAAAAGGTTCCCTCCACTCCATCGCAAAAACGGAGAGACTTTTGGGTCTTCTTCCATTCCAAACATCTCAGAAATGCAAGTTCAAAGACCGGTTTAGAGCTCGGACTCTTGGTTGCCACGAACTCTCAACGGCAGGAGACGCACACGTCTCCATTATGCAAGAAATCGACAGTATACACACATTGTGATTTGGTTTTCGTATAGTTAATTGTGGGCATTCTGTATAACTTTTTACCATATAACATAGCCTTTATGGTTTCATACTCATTTGGGTCGAGGTTGTGATTAAAGTTGCAGTCAAATCTGGCCCGGTACAATTCAATCACACTTAGACTCAATTACGGAATCCAAACGATACCTGGATGCCAGCAACGTGTATATAATTAGGCCCATCGCTCCAAACGTTCGGTCAATTCCTTTAAAGCATAACTTGATCGATGATTCTACCCCCTTGGAATCGTGTTTTCTTTCTTCTGTTAACCATCAAAACTCGGTTAAATATAACCCTTCCCATGGCGTCATTAAAAGCAGTCGTCATCCGTCGGGCCAAAGGAACTGCCTGAACTGAGCCTGAAATGACCTGGCTTGGCACTGCTATGCCATGCTCAATTAGACTGGAAGTGTTATTGTGGAAATAATCAATCAAGAAAGTTCATCCGAGCGGCTTCCATGTTGGTTTTAGTTTCGGCAGCTTGAAAAGTTCAGTAGGGGGATGCATGCAATGACTAATATCAAGGCTCCGTCCGGGTAACAGGCCCTAAATTAGTAACCACAAGATTTTTTTTTTTAGTCAGCAAAAAAAATTGATGTAAAAATGCAGGAGTGCAATTTCTGCATGAACATTTTAACCTAGCGGGGAGAATTAATATAAACAAGTACAAATCTTTAACCGTATTGGGTGAGAGATCATGTAAATTAAGAGATATTATGTTTTATTCCTGTAATAAACGTAAACTGTTAATGTACTTATGGTGATTTACAGATTAAAAAAAAGGTCACAAACCTGACTTTTTATTCGATAAGGAAGAAAAGTAATATTAAAACCTAATTTTAAACTACTGTGTCATCTGTTGCTTAAAACAAACATGTCGGTGCACATTTTCTACATGCTTTGGCACAACTTATAATATCTTGTAATCGATAACAACTCTTCAATATCGTATTAAGGGAATATCTCCAAAGTTTGTACTTCCATTTGTTTTGTTCAGAATGAAATTTCACATGGAGTATAATAGTTTGCCTATAGATAATGATTTTCTTTAAGACAATTACCAATGTGTACATCAAACATCCATTCCGGGAATTCTGTGTGATAACAGTGAAGTTTCTTTTGCGAATTTAGCAATTTGTACAATTGTCAAATTGTTCACTATTTTCTAAGATGCGACTGCTGCCTATTTTTTTTAATGTAGAAAATATCGTCCACTTAAAGTTAAAAAAAAAGCTTTTGATATCGATTACCGAGCTAAATGGTCTATTTTCCTAATCTGTGCTTTTATTGGTCTACATTCCTGACTACTTCCGATAATTTAAAAAGAAGCTTTCTCTGATTTGTAATTTCTGTATACACTCGCCCTCCTTATGCCGTATTCACTTTCTTTTTTACATAGACTACGAACTCGTATACATTATATCCACACACCATAAAGATAAAACATGTTTTTTTTCATATATAGTTACAGATAAACTACACTCAAGCTTGAAAGTAAAAAAGCAAACTCAAAATAAAACTGTATATATACATATAAAGTTTATGACACTTTTCCAATATTTTATAATTTTTTACATTAACGAGGTAATTGAAATCATGATAGTTGGTACAAAAACGAAAACCAATTTAGCAAGGACAAAGCCTGCTGTTTCAACAAAATCACAATAACGTCCTCACCCCTAGTGTAACAACATTGGCCCCTCATAGATAGCCACAATAATCTAAAAAGTACTTCTGTTATAACTGTTTATAAAAAAAGGCAGCCATCGTGGAATCAACTATGGGGTTTACGGAATCTTGGCTTCGCCTCCGGTTCAGCTTCGACACCAAATCCTGTTACAAAACTCCATGCCAATGGGAAACTTTCGTTATTAGGTTTGAAAACATGGCAGGATTCTCATCAATTTTGGACTGGAAACAAAGCCAAAGCCGGAGACGAAGCGACCATCTGGTTCTTTAGTCCTTCTACATTCACTACCCCCCCCCCCTTTTTGGGGGCGAACAAAACCATACCCTGATCATAGAGCAAGGATGAACTGTCCAAGATGGCTGCCACATTCTGACATCTACTGCCCGAGGTTTCCGTTAGCCGCGCTGCCATTGACGTTGATGATGTTATCATTTTCATCCGGTGTCAGGGGTGAAGCTGACGATGAGGTCGTCGTCGATGGGGCCTCGGGATGCGATTCGGGCTCCTTCTTAGCCTGGGGCAGGCTGGACCTCCCGCACATGAAGGTGAAGCCCATGTCCACCCAGGAGGTGGGCAGGGCGAACAGCATGTGCAGGATGTACTGCACGGCGAAGGGCGCCGCCACATACCTCTCCCTGGGTTGCTGAACGGTGAGGGCGTCCTCCACCGCTGTCAGGACAGGCTGCAGGTCGGATGAACCCTGACCCGACCAGGAGCACATGGACTGCAAGACGTAGTCGAAGTACTCGGTACCGTACTCCTCCTTCAAGGAATCCGACATTTTGCTCCAGACTCCACGCAAGATCTTCTCGATGTTCTCCTTCTTGAAGAAGTTGGTCGCCCCTGTCAAAACAAAGTTCAGTATTTTGGTTGAACAAAATTGAACAAAGATACTGACTGCGGGGACAGTACTCCTATCAGTTCTCGGGGGCTCCTCAAGGCAAAAACCCCATGTGTTCTTAAATGTTGCCTCTATATGGCCAAATCTCGAAAAAGTTCATTCATACGGTAGTTGCTTTGGCGTTTGAGCCGTAATACCTGTATATGTGAAGCATTCATGCACTTCAATGAATACAATATTCGCGCTAACTCAATTAGCATCAAACAAGTCTCATTCAAGGAGAACAGGGATCAAGATTTTCAATGTTCCAAACTCTTTAAAAAACCCAAAAAAAGTCCCAGGGATTGGTCTGACACTTTATCTGAGTCAAAATTGATACTTTTCTCGAGTATTGATACTTTTCTCGAGTCAAAATGACTCTTCTCTGACTCATAATCCTCGGCAAAAGTGTCATTCTGACCCAGAAAAGTGTCAGTTTTGACCCTGAATCGTGTCGAGCCAAATAGAGCCTGGATTCCTGGTCATATCTGACCAGGGATTTTTTTAAGAGTGCACATTGCCTATTTTTTCTCCTCCAGATTGTTTGTCCACCTACTGCCCTGCTCTACACTGCCTTCCTCTCCAATTTTGTTCGATAATTTTGAATTAGATCTTCCTGCCCGTCAGGCTCACCCAGGACTAACCTGCAGACCCCCTTCCTATAAGCACCTCACCCAAAATGTGTTTTCGACCCCTGCCAGCAGACCCCTTTGGCTCCTGAGCACCCCATGGCCGCAATTTGTTTTGCCGCTCAAGCCCTCTCCATCGGTCTTCCAATTCCCACAGCACAAGTTAACCTCGTCCACTTTTTTACAGTCAACTAGGTATAACACTGCCCATGTGTGAGAAACATCACGAGATTCACGTCATATATCATGCGATTTTGATAATTTTTCACTGAAATTTGAATACTGTGTTCAATCAAATCATTGTTTACAAAACAGTAAATTCATCTTGTTCTGCCTTACTTGTGGCCGGCGCTGAAAATTGCGTTTGAAGGGAATCAAAGTACGAGAGCCATCCCAGTGGCGGATCTAGCGGTGGCGGTGGGGGTTGCAACCCCCTCCCCCGCCCGTCCCCTTCAACCGATGCCTAATGTTGTGATACTAGTAAAATGGGCCACAAATAATAAATGAGTTGAACAAAATTGACTCAAAGTTCCTTAATAAATTCTCAAATTGCCATAAAAGCAGGAGAAAGCATCGTAGATTTCGAAATTTTCCGGGAGGGGGTGTATCAACTCCCTAGCAGGGCGTGCCATTGGCACGTCTTCACTCAAATATCACAAATCTATCATTGGATCCGCCTATGCATGCATTGCCAATTCTGACACGTGTGCAGTAACAGAACTCGGTTGTAGAAACAAAAAAGCTAGCTTCCTGTCCACCCTCAGTTAATACTCACCAGCAAAGTTTGCCGGTTCCACCAGCACCACTTTGACGTCCCACTTGTACATCTCGTGTCGCAGGGAGTCGGACATCGCCTCCACCGCGTACTTGGTCAGGCAGTACGGGGAGTTGCAAGGGAAACTCATCCGGCCACTGATGCTGCTCATGTTGACTACGCGACCTGCAGAAGACAGCACGGCATTAACTAGAGCTTACAGCCACTTCTACAACAAAGAATGGCATGACAGAACCCAGAGCTATTCTATAAATCAGTGTTGTCATAGACTAATATTTTACATCCACCGCCAACATTTTGTGGTACACATAACATTGTAGGTGGCTTATCGCCATGTTCAAGGAAAGTCGTGCGCACGCGCAAAACGTCGAACCAGTCACCAATTAAAGAAAGTCAATTCATTGAAAGCCTGAACAAAATTCGTAGAGGTTACAAGCATAAGTTTCCTTCTTTTAAAAAAAAAATGTTATACCGTCACTGCCGTAAAACCCCAACTTATATACCAAAAGGGTCGGTCTTGGTCATGCTATTGAGGGCGCTGTGAAGCTGCAATTTTCCGGGTACAGACAGTAGAAGCATCACGTTTATAGATGCAAATAAGCAATTTTTCTCCAATCTCAAAGTTAACAAATTGTAAAAATGTAATGTTACATTCGCATTTAAATACAGCCAATTCTTTCAGAGGAAACAGAACGTGACTCTCTTGGAGCGATAGTGCACTAGGGTCTATGAATTGTACCCTGATGTCCACCCTGAAGTTACTCACAAGTCGATTGATTCAAGTGATAATTGATTCACACGAACTGTAAAAAAGGCTGTCATTTGTTAATGATCACCCCTTGGAACATGTGACTTGATATGGGATTGACTAGATTACAAATTACTCTGCTTTGTAGTAAGCACACCGCAGAAGAGCAGTACAGGTATAGCAATAGGGACGACCTTATCACTTACAAAAGTTATCGCCCCTAAGTTCGAGCCTTAGAACCAAGCCTCATTATGGACCGAATACCTGTTCCCATTTTGCTGCTTTGGATCCACCATCGACATGAAAACAACGTGGAGAGGAATCTAGGTGTCTAAAATCAAGGCCTGGCCTGTCGAAGCTTATAAAAATCGCGGCTGCTGAAACTATACAAGAAAATTCGCGATACAGTTACCATTGTTCGAGTCAAATTATGTGTGCCGGGCAAAATGGAGCAAACACCTGTGGTTGATGATATGAAGCCTGGAACGCGAGTCTAGCCTTTAGTGACCGATTACAAAAAGCAGAAACAAAACACTGCACACCTGTGCCCAAGAGACTCCGTGATCCCCTTTTGTCTCCGCCCGATGACCCATTTAGAGGCACTTCTGACCCCCTAGGCTGACCCCTATAACACCTGGTTGAATCTACCCCTTTTCCTGTCATTTCCCCCAACTGAACTCGGGCCTAATTTTGAACTCCTTCCGGGGCAGGATTTATCGCTTCGCGGCTCTGTCTAAACTTAGAAATCCGGGTAGTTTTTCTCACAACAGAGGTTATTCCTTTGTGTTTGCCCATTTAGGAAACTTCCGCATCCGCTGAGATAAAGCAAAAGATTCGTCCTTTGCTCGGCATTGCTATAAATTAATTAGGTTGCTGACCATGCGTAAGAACTCATTCAAGACAGTGATCAAGTTAGTTCAGTGATCAAGCCAGTTCAACATATCATTCAGTGTGGACACACACACAATGATGAATGAGCAAAACTTTTTAGTGCAGCAAATGGATTCTTAAATTTGAAATGATTCGAAACCTCCGATCAGGCAGGCCCGGGTTAAGTGTTTCGTAGGCCCCAGGCACCATGTGTTCCGTAGGCCCTACTCCGCCCTAGGCACCAGCACAAATTACATGCTATTAAAGTACAAAGCACTGTAAAAAAAAAAAATCAAGCCGGGGCAAACTGGTGTAGGTCCTAGCTCTAAAAGCCTGTTGGCACAAAGGGCGTCAATCGTTTCTCCACAGTGGAGAAGGTACATACACATGTACATGTGTATCTTGATCAGAACTAATGTGAGTGCAAAGCTTAACGGCATGGGGGCTACATGCATGCCTACATACTGTACAGCGTCAGTTGGTGAAATCAAAAATTCCGAGAGAGACCCTCAAACTTAAAAAAAAAAACCTTTTCTCTGCGTATGGGTGTGTGCAGGGCAGGACTATTTATGTGTATGCATTTTCGTAGGCCCCCGAATTTTTCGTAGGCTCTATAGGCACAGTGCCTACTATCCTGTTGGATAATCCGGGCCTGTAATTTTGCTCGAAATTTAATCAGGCTGCAAATTTCGTGGAATTGCTAAAGGTGACCGACCAGGTTCAACATTGTTGGAAACTTGTTATAGAAATAAGAGCTACCGATATATCAGAAAGTTCCTCCTAAATATTTTATAACGGTTGCAGGAGAAATTATAGTGAGACTGTAATAGTCTAGGTGAATGTAATCGCGTAAAATTAATAGCGTTATGCCTATACTGACTTGACTTGAGACTTATACCAACAAATAAACTGCCATAGACCCCAATGATAAATGCCCCCATTTCAGAAGTTCAGGAAAAATACTCACAACTCTCCAAGGTGTTCGAGACACACATCACTTATTTCATCACCTTTCATTTTCTTTTCAATTCTTTTTGGGGGTAATCTGATGACTTTTGGGATAAATGTCCATCCGAAGATGATCACCCCATATAGTCCTGAAGCCCATCGCCATTTTGAAAAAAAAACGGTGCTTATACTCCATTGCAAAATAGAGCACTTTCAGGGCCCCAATATCATCCAAAATGTCACAGAAATACAAGCTCACGATCCTGTGCACGGCTTCCGCCCTCATTATTTTGTTTACAAACCCTCAAGTTCATGGCCCACAATATGCTCAAATACTGAAAATTGGAGGGCATGCAAATCGTGATTTGGCCAGCGTTGGCAATTTTGGAGCGATTTACTGGCGTGCACCCCGAAGGACCTGTGACGAACTTGGACTTGCATCGACTCGACTATAGCACTGGGACTTGACAACTCCTCTGAAAAAAGTTGTTGTTTTTTCTTCAACCCCTCTGTCATCCATAGACAAACCTCAAGCATGACGCTTTCCCTTGGTCAACCCTTCTATAAACCAACGGTCGTTCAAATCAACCGCACTGCTCCAGATAGCCACTCACCTTTGCTCCGGCGGATGAGGGGCAGGAACGCCTGAATGACCCTGATGCTTCCCCACAGATTCACCTCCGTCACCCACTTGAACTGGTCCAAGCTGATCCACTCCAACTCCCCCAGACCGTTCACGGCGGCGTTGTTGACCACACCCCACAGACCTGCCAGAAAAATGCGCAAAGGTATACACAGTTTAACGATGTTGGAAACTGAATTCGACTGACTCATTAATTAGGGAATATAACAAATAGGTGATGGGATTGTGCCTTTGATGATACAAGTCTGGCATTTGGCACACTGTCAGAGTTTGTAATGAGAAAGATAATAGGCTATAGGGCCATCGCAGATTTTTCCTTTGAAAAAAAATATAGGTAGAAAAACAAGCTGTGGCAGCCATTTTGAAAATTTTGAAATTTTGAAAATTGCTTGTTTTTCTACCTATATTTTTTCAAAGGAAAAATGTGCGATGACCCTGTAGCCACATATCTTTCTCATGACATACTCTGACTGTGTGCCAAATTCATGCTTGTATCATCAAAGGCACAATTCTTCCAAATATTTTCCCCATCTGCCCCACTGGGCCAGGGTAACCATCCCCTGTTAAATCACCACTTTTTCCTCGGTTACTTTATCGGGTTAGGTAACGTGCATTTCACATCGAAATGTCGAGATGTAGATACGTATATATGCCTGGTGAAATCATTTCACAATTTCATGATGAAATCGAAAATGTGTCACAAGCCATAGGCCTACGTCCTCCGCAATCGCATCATTTCTAATCTAGTGATGTGAGTGCGGAGGATGCATCAAGATCGGGAAAAAAGTTAACAGTGCCATAATGCCGCGTATTGTCCTCCACGTGCATCACACTTTACTTATAATGTCTTGCAGGCCATTATGGTCAAGTCTGTGAACGCACGATAACAACTTAATGGGCTGCACTTCAGGTGTTAATTGAACTTTAATAATGCATCTATACATTGCATTCCTTTTCTGTATACATTGCATTTCTTTTATGTTACATGTACATGGCGGTCGTGATGACACTGAGTCAGCAAAACAGTTCGGTTGTTAGAATTTGTGTTGAAAAGATCTTTGGCGGTTTATTGTTTGAAAATAAGGGAATATGGTCGATTCCTGCACATGTTCCAGGATCGGAAGTAATTTACCCGGGTTTTTGTTTTCAAACACTAAAACAAGACTAAAGGTAAAGCTTTCAAAGGGATGCGTTGTTTCAGGAGCAAAATTGATTTTTTTTTTCACCCTAAGACACATCACGGATTTCCAACTGAATTTGACCTGAGAAACTGCATTCTTTCAAACCAGCTGTTCTGCAAAAGAACGACTTTTCGAAGTCTGTTTACGAAAGGGCTATATAGATTATGATTATTAGTGTCGATAGTGGATGCAAATAACCAGTCACCACCGGGTTTATCTATTAGATCCTCGGGTTTGGTTGAAGAACTCTGGCTATGTACTTCAACCATTTCAAAGTCCATGTAATTACCTTTTTTTTCTTTAATGCGCTATTTTTTTCATTTCATAAATAAATATTGTAAAGACCTGAACTGCTATAGCAAGTGCATGGGGCCTGGAAAAAGCACCAGCTGTAGCCGGGATGAGGTACCGTGCCTCGACGGTCGCTGACACGCCGGTCGTTCAACCCGTGTCCTGCTAAACCGTACGAGCGCACCCGCTGCCCAAAACAGTTTTGGGCAAGGGCCTTCAGTCTTCCATTGTGCTGGCATCATGTACGACAACAAACGGAGGGGCGGTACCCCCTGAACCCTAAGAAAAAAACCGTCAAGGTCTACTCTTGAAAAACTTGACACCAACACCCAAAGAGGAGATATAGACGGGGCCTGGAGTGGCGGGGTTATGGATACCCCCGGTGTCTTTTTGTGAAAGGTGTTGCTGGGCCCCCGGGGCGGGGTTTGCGACGGAGCTGAACGGCCTTGTATCCCCGGTCCACGCGGTGACGGTGCAGGTGTGCAAACTCCGTACTCGCTCATTGGTTTCTTTTAAATTGAGGACCAGCCGGTACTTTTGGCCCGGCAGAGAGGGAGCCGGTGCAATGTCCTCAAAAAATTCCCACTCTTTCTTTACTTTTAAATAAAAAAAATTAAAAGGTAGAATGATTTGTAAAGTAGCATGCTTGCGTATACATGGTGAGTAAAAAAAAAAGAAACCCAAATGTCGGGACCATTGTTTTAGTGATGTTCTGCAGGTAGCACTTTCAAAATATAGAATATGAAAGCCAAATTCATAAGCTTTCTTTTAGTATATAATAATCATTCAAATCATACTTGAAATTTTGAAGTTACGGACTTTTAAACACAACCACCGTTTTAAAAATCTGTCCACGGATCACAAAAAGGTAAGTGTTCTTTCAGCAAAACGAAAACAAATCACATAGAGATGTGAGTGAATTGTTTTCGTTTTGCTGAAAGAATTTACACCTTTTTTGTGATCCGTGGACAGAACTTTAAAACGGTGGTTGTGTTTACAATTCCGTAACTTAAAAAGTACATGAGTGGTTTGAATGATTCTTGTACTAAAAGAAAGCTTATGAATTGGGCTTTCATACCATTGATTTTAAAAGTGCTACATGTACATGCAGAAATTCACTAAAACAATAGTCCCGACATTTGGGATTGTTTTTTTTTAACTCACCCTGTACAGTAACTTGGCGACTTGATAATACATTTTCGGACTTTCGTTTGACTATACATCACTTTTGACCAACCACAGGCCATCATCATTGATTTAGAAAAACTAGTCAAAACAATTTATAAAAATAAATAACATTAAACTACCTAAAACACTGAATTATCAACAACCAACTTCCAAAAACCAAACACCTCTATATTTAATACCGAGGGACAAAATACGTGCAATTGTCGAGTTTCACCCCAAAATACTAAACACATTTTGAATACTTTCGCAGTGTAGACTGGTTCCCATCCCTATCAGGATCAATAACGGGGAGACCGGAACCAGTCTATTTGCAGGGCGGTCTGGATCTGATAGTGCGCAAAAGCACCCCAATTAAATGCCCTTTTTTCATCAGGTTGTCGTTTCAGTAGAGTAAAACACAAAGATCGAAATTCGTAGGGAGAAAAAACAATTGTACCTGAGAGAAAAGGATCCACCATTTGCTGCTTTGAAAAACCTAGAATCGTTACTATACTGTAGAAGTAATGCGAAGCGGCCATTTAATAGAGCATCTTTTGTTATTTTATTACAGCAACAATGAATGGGGCCCCACCGAACATTATGGCCAAAAATTGAAACGCCCGTGAATATAGGAAACTATATAGGAAACTATATAAGAAGTTACTAGCACACGTTTATAGATTGGAATTATTATACATTATCTAAACCTAGTTAAATGTCTTGCTGATATACTTCTGAGCTGTAATGACAATATGCACCCTAGCCTGCGCCAGTGCCCCAGTCAAAATCAATTCGAAAGCACGATTTGCAACTCGATTGCTTCAGTTTTGACTTCGTTGTCAAATGTGTAGTTCTTTTGGCTAGTGGATTTACGAAGCCATGGGCGTCGCCAGGATTTTGTTCTAGACGCCGGCAAACATATTTTTCCCAACACAATCCTGTATTTCTCAACATATTCTCGATTTAGGGGGGGGGGGCAGGGACATTTTGCCCCCCCCCCCCCACCCATTAAATTTACACCAATATGACTTCGCACCTCTTTTTTTTTTTTTTTTTTGCTTTTCTGAGGGTGGGGGTGGGGGCAAGCCCCCCACGCCCCCCTCCTCACTCGCGACGCCCATGTACGATGCCATTAACTTCAAATCAAAACGTAGCATATAGATATGGTGTCAAGTGTACGTCCACTTTAAAGAAGGTCATTAATTAAAATATCATAGTTAACTCCAATAAGCTATACACTCATTGATATAGCTGGATAAAATATAACTAACATATGCCTACACGTATTCCGGACACATACATGTATATACACTGTTCCTGTTACATGTACATGTACATGTACATGTACATGTACATGTATATATATGCACACGAACGGTAAACGCTTGTTTCTGCGATGATTGATTTGTCCACACAACCCCGAACGGGATATCAATAAATCACCGACACGTACACGTCGGAAAAATTCTTTTATTAGGGTGTTATTGCCTCCTGACTTTTTGAAGGTTAAAGCGAAGCTTCCCTCCCCACTAGTTTTCGGCTTTCAACTTATGAACAAAAAACACAGGCATCTTTACAAGATAGCAGACGAAGCGTGAAAAGACGTGCGCCACTCTGGGGCCTATCCTGTCGTTTCCTTTTCATCTTTAGTTTTCTCACCCTTCCAAACGAACTTTGTTTTGTTTTGTTGTGTTGGTTGTTATACACGTTTCCTCCTGGTGAATCGCTTGACTGAGTTTTATTACATTTTTTTAAATACCAAATGTATGCCCAAACAAATTGGTTTAGCCTACATGCATTGGGCCCTGTAGGCCCAATGCATATAAAGTATATACATTTTGTACAACTAAAGCATGCCACTAAACATTTCATAAAAAAGCACTTGCAAAGATGACAAGCAAAAAAATACATCATTGCAAATCTTTGGTATGGAAACACACAAAAAACGATACATATTTTGTGCATTCTAAAAAAAAATCACAACTTATTATATAATTCGTTGATTGCAGTATAAGGGGAAAACCTGTCGAAACACTTTTGCACGCATGGGGAAAACCACAGAGAACTTCAGATCCTAATCCAAACTCTCATGGCAACCACGTTTGTCGTAGATCAGCACAATTGATGATTTTTTTAAAAATTAAAACTGATAATGCTTATATTTTAGTCGGATCATTCATACTCGATTATTCGAGTGTTGTATACCAGTTGCCACTGGTATCTCGTGCTGCTGAAGCTTGCCGTATACTGTGCATGCAACGACCACAATTTTTGCTGTCCAAAATTGTATCACCGCAGTCGTTTGGAGGAGTTTTTCCTCATACGACTTCTCTTGCAATAATCACATAAAGTCCATGATATTAGCGTGGAACGTATTGAGCTGCAGACCCATACATATACATATACACGTGTAGACCGACTTCAAGTTCAATGCATTGCAATAAGATCAGATGTTCTACAGCATGTCGTGGTGAAGATCTGGACG